GCGTGCGCGGGGTTGAGCGGGAAGAGGACTGACCTGGCGACGCGGGCTGGGCTCAGGTGATGAAAGGGGAAAAATAAAGGTTCGTTTGGGAAAGGGTTTTTGGGGAAGCAGCTTTTTTCTGGAAAAAAGCTTTTTTTTCTGGAGCTCTGCCCCGCTGGCGGCGGCTCTGAGAGGGGACCGGTCTATCGAGCCGCCTCAGGCGCACCAGAGGAGCTGTTTGCTAGCCCTCTCCTGGCCTTAGGTTGGCTTGGCTACTAAGTTAAAAGGCTAAAAATGTCTCCAGGGCTTCTTTCTAGATGGCCTTCTCCCTAAAATGCATTTCCCCGGGACAGGAAATTAGGCATCCCTGTCATTTCACCTGTGAATGCCCCTGCCTCGGAGCTTCTCGCCTTCTCGGAGGAACCAAATAGTCCCAACTCCTGTTCTGGCAGCTTCAACCTCCTACACGAGCTATTCATGGCTTCCCTGGGCAGCTTCTCCGTGCTCCCTGGGCTGCTCCAGTCAAATTCGTTTCTGGTAGAAATGGCCGACAGCTGCATTGAAATGGAGGCCATTTCCCCTTTTTTTTCCAACTTATTTTCAACTGCTACAGAATATAGCTTATTTTCTTGGCATAGTAACTCCATTAAAAATGTACAAGGTATTGTGAGGACCCCACAGAAACCGGGACCTAACCAGGTATTTACAACTTAAGTCAGTATTTTCACTTTCTTTTTTTTTTTCAGGTCTCTCGCTTGGAGAGAGATGAGTTGAGTTACATGGTTACAGGTTGTCACAGTAGCTGCTCTTTTGTCCACAAGAACCTTTGCCATCCTTCTCCATGCTGCTTACTCAGCTGGTGGCAGAAGGTCCACCATCTTGCATTGCAAGTGTTAACTGCTGCAGGTGGAGCTTTTCTATGTGAAAATTTAATTAGTAACTTGAAGACACACAGAGAAGAGGGCAGTTTTGTGGAAGTCCCTGCTTGCTAAAAATATTCTACAAAGCTTAGGAAGTAGGTTTTTTTGTCTATTTGTATATACTGGGAAAAGGAAGAGATTTGGCTAAGAATATTTATCTATGTTTGGTTTTGGAGATATGATTTGCTGCACTTTCTATGGATTTACTTTTTTTTCCCTTTGAATATTTTGAAATACCAATTAATTGAAGCACCATCTCACCATTTGTGGTGGTTTTTTTGTTCTTTGTTTTGGTTGGTTTGGGGTTTTTTTTTAGGGGTTGGACTCGATGATCTCAAAGTTCCCTTCCAACCATGAATATTCTGTGATTCTGTGATTATTGCTGGGTTAGTTACAAAGCAGATGAAACAGCTAGCTACTTCTTATAAAGAAGAATTAAATTTTAATTCTTTTCAGAGAGGAAGCAAGGTATTACTGCTGGTATGTGTTGCTGTGTGTAGGGTGAGCATGGCCATGACTGTGGGTGCATATCTTGCTTTAGAAGCCTGTGTATGGGCCTTACCCTTGTTGCTACTTGGTTGTGGAAGTCCTGGATCATAGTGCTATTCCCAGTAATAGACTTTTTATAGAGTGTCAGAGTCTTTTCTTGTTTTGTACTGTTCCAATGCAGTGATGGATGTGTTTAAGAAGGGTTGCAGAAATTGCAGATAATCATTTTATAGCATTATTTAAAGCTTACCTAGCCAGCTACTGGGGGAGACTGAGGTGTATCTACTCACAGTGATTTCACTCTTTTTGTGCTGATATATGTCCTGTGAACATCTGCGGAGACTAGGTTCAGCTTAGAGCTCTAGTAATTTTTGTTAGAGAATTCTTGCATCTAAAGATAAGTGTTGTTTTGGAGCTGAGGGACCAAACCCAGTCCTGGCCTTCTAGGTTTGTGTGACTGCTCTAGTAATTATATTGTGAATATTTTTGTGTCTGTTGCCAGATTTCATGGAGAATGGCATGCTGCTATTTAGTTCCTAACCACAAGAAAATACTTTAATTACCTTTAACAAAATTATCTTACCTGTTCATAAGAACAATACAAAATGAAGCTCAGACAATGGGGTCAGTTGAAGAAAAGAGAAAGCAGTCATTTGGCTTTCATTTGATAAGAATCTTGCTTTAATTTTTAAAAGAAGATCAGATACGGTTTGGTGAAATGTTCCTTTAATTTTCACATGCTGTTTCTGTAACTTGAGGTTTCAGTACTGTTTGTGTCTTTGGTATTTGACGTGTGGCCATCCAGCCGGTTCCTGATCCACCGAGTGGTCCATCCATCATTCAGCCGGCGGCTACGGGCAACGCCGGGGCGGGGAGCGGGCGGGAGGCTCGGGGGAACCCCGCGGCCCCGCCGTGCCCACCATGCAGGCTCGCACAATGCGGAGGGCGCCGATGCCGCGCAGGTTCCCCTCCTCAGCCGCTTCTCCGCCGGTGCGGGGGAGCGGGGAGAGGGAGAGCGCCTATTCCGCCCGCTCCCAGCCCGGCTCCGCTCCACAGCGCGGAGGGCAGCGGGGACCCCGGCGGCGGAGAAAGGGCCGCCAGTCAGCGCAGGGAGCGGCGCGGCCTCCCCGGGTTCTTCAGCGGGTACAAGCCCCCGCCTGGGAAGGAAAAAATTAACCGCAATGGATCCGGCGGGAAAGGCAGCCGCGGCCCCGGCCGCCCGCGGTGCCGGCGGTGGAGCCCGGGGCGGGCGGGGCTAGGGTTGGGCTCCCGGGGCGGGCGGGCGCTGAGGGGGCGGGCGGCAGGCGGGGCGGGGGCGGCGCCATCTTGAGTAGAGGCAGGCGTGCGCGGGGTTGAGCGGGAAGAGGACTGAACTGGCGACGCGGGCCGGGCTCAGGTGATGAAGGGGGAAAAATAAAGGTTCGTTTGGGAAAGGGTTTTTGGGGAAGCAGCTTTTTTCTGGAAAAAAGCCTTTTTTTCTGGAGCTCTACCCCGCTGGCGGCGGCTCTGAGAGGGGAGCGGTCCATCGAGCCGCCTCAGGCGCTCCAGAGGACCTGTCTGCTAGCCCTCTCCTAGCCTTAGGTTGGCTCGGCTACTAAGTTAAAAGGCTAAAAATGCCTCCAGGGCTTCTTTTTAGATAGCCTTCTCCCTAAAATGTATTTCCCGGGACAGGAAATTAGGCATCCATGTCATTTCACCTGTGACTGTGACTGCCCCTGCCTCAGAGCTTCTCGCCTTCTCTGAGGAACCAAATAGTCCCAACTCCTGTTCTGGCAGCCTCAACCTCCTACATGAGCTATTCATGGCTTCCCTGGGCAGCTTCTCTGTGCTCCATGGGCTGCTCCAGTCAAATTCGCTTCTGGTAGAAATGGCCGACAGCTGCATTGAAATGGAGGCCATTTCCCCTTTTTTTTCCAACTTATTTTCAACTGCTACAGAATATAGCTTATTTTCTTGGCATAGTAACTCCATTAAAAATGTACAAGGTATTGTGAGGACCCCACAGAAACCGGGACCTAACCAGGTATTTACAACTTAAGTCAGTATTTTCACTTTCTTTTTTTTTTTCAGGTCTCTCGCTTGGAGAGAGATGAGTTGAGTTACATGGTTACAGGTTGTCACAGTAGCTGCTCTTTTGTCCACAAGAACCTTTGCCATCCTTCTCCATGCTGCTTACTCAGCTGGTGGCAGAAGGTCCACCATCTTGCATTGCAAGTGTTAACTGCTGCAGGTGGAGCTTTTCTATGTGAAAATTTAATTAGTAACTTGAAGACACACAGAGAAGAGGGCAGTTTTGTGGAAGTCCCTGCTTGCTAAAAATATTCTACAAAGCTTAGGAAGTAGGTTTTTTTGTCTATTTGTATATACTGGGAAAAGGAAGAGATTTGGCTAAGAATATTTATCTATGTTTGGTTTTGGAGATATGATTTGCTGCACTTTCTATGGATTTACTTTTTTTTCCCTTTGAATATTTTGAAATACCAATTAATTGAAGCACCATCTCACCATTTGTGGTGGTTTTTTTGTTCTTTGTTTTGGTTGGTTTGGGGTTTTTTTTTAGGGGTTGGACTCGATGATCTCAAAGTTCCCTTCCAACCATGAATATTCTGTGATTCTGTGATTATTGCTGGGTTAGTTACAAAGCAGATGAAACAGCTAGCTACTTCTTATAAAGAAGAATTAAATTTTAATTCTTTTCAGAGAGGAAGCAAGGTATTACTGCTGGTATGTGTTGCTGTGTGTAGGGTGAGCATGGCCATGACTGTGGGTGCATATCTTGCTTTAGAAGCCTGTGTATGGGCCTTACCCTTGTTGCTACTTGGTTGTGGAAGTCCTGGATCATAGTGCTATTCTCAGTAATAGACTTTTTATAGAGTGTCAGAGTCTTTTCTTGTTTTGTACTGTTCCAATGCAGTGATGGATGTGTTTAAGAAGGGTTGCAGAAATTGCAGATAATCATTTTATAGCATTATTTAAAGCTTACCTAGCCAGCTACTGGGGGAGACTGAGGTGTATCTACTCACAGTGATTTCACTCTTTTTGTGCTGATATATGTCCTGTGAACATCTGCGGAGACTAGGTTCAGCTTAGAGCTCTAGTAATTTTTGTTAGAGAATTCTTGCATCTAAAGATAAGTGTTGTTTTGGAGCTGAGGGACCAAACCCAGTCCTGGCCTTCTAGGTTTGTGTGACTGCTCTAGTAATTATATTGTGAATATTTTTGTGTCTGTTGCCAGATTTCATGGAGAATGGCATGCTGCTATTTAGTTCCTAACCACAAGAAAATACTTTAATTACCTTTAACAAAATTATCTTACCTGTTCATAAGAACAATACAAAATGAAGCTCAGACAATGGGGTCAGTTGAAGAAAAGAGAAAGCAGTCATTTGGCTTTCATTTGATAAGAATCTTGCTTTAATTTTTAAAAGAAGATCAGATACGGTTTGGTGAAATGTTCCTTTAATTTTCACATGCTGTTTCTGTAACTTGAGGTTTCAGTACTGTTTGTGTCTTTGGTATTTGACGTGTGGCCATCCAGCCGGTTCCTGATCCACCG